CAGGAGACATGCATGTGTTGTGATTCCTTTGGGACATTTGGGTTAAACGTTCTGCATTCGGGTAAAGGATATTAACATGGCATAAGGTATCTTGGAGACACACATCCTGAAACACTGAAACTCATAATCTGGAATGCTTATGAATCAGTTTGGTTTTGTTTGTGTTTTAAAATTGTGTTTTCCGAAGCTGTTGCTATGGTACATGAAGCCCAATGAACAACTCCTTAAGAATGCTAAAGATGCTGACATCACAGGATGTTGACACAGACTTTAAGGGCATGCTGAGAGATTCCCCCCCCCCTTCCTTTTTTTACTAACATCTAGCCTGATAAGGAGTTCTGGAGAACTGGAAAGTTTGCTCACTCGCTATGTTATATTATTTTGGTTGGTATTTGATTTTGCTATAGACCTTTGTACAGTTTTTTGAGAACCCCCTAAACCTGGAAATTCATCCCTTCCCAATTCTTGGCACCCATATCACGTAGAGTGGTGCGTGCAGTTTATTCAACATAGCACAACATTAACTGAATGTAATCAAGGGTAATTTCTGAAGCCCTAATAATAGCTCTAATAGCCCCGACTAGCCTGATCTCATCAGAGCTTGAAAGCTAAGCAGGGTTGATATTTTGATGGGGGACCACTGAAGAAGACTAGGGCTGCTGTGATGGACTGCACTTTTTAAGAGGCTTAGAAGCGCTCTACCAACAATTAAAGGACTGTGAAGGGTTAATTCTTCAGAGAGCCTTGAATGACAGGCTGCTCTAAGCGATCTGATTGGTTGGCATCAGCTGAGAAAAAAAAGTCTTGAGAGACCTAGATGCTGAGGAGATTCAGTCAGATTCCTGCCTTAACTGAGAAGAGATGTGTACTATCTGAGATTAGTCCTGACAGAAAAAAAGGTTTAGTGCTGGCAGTCAGATTTCAACCTTGACTGAACACAGTTTGAATTCAGCATTAGCTGAGAGCAGTTTGAACACAGACAGAGAACTGGGAGAGAGTTTGGCAAGGAAGTTTGGGTAGTAGAGAAGACTCCCATTCTAGGGGTGTGCAAAAAAAAAATTCTTCCGGATTCTGATTCAGCCGAATCAGGCAGAATCAATTTCAGCTGGCAGAAAGACGCCTGCATGTTAATTTCAGCAGTAGGAGCCATTCCTGAGTCTTTTGGCCAGCCAAATGTCAATTGTGGCCCCATTATATCCTATGGGCCATTGAAGTCAATGGCAAAAACATAGGGTATATTCTGGGAACTGGAAGATAGGGAGTTTGAGGGAGAGGCTCCAAACTTGCAGGGTAGCTGCTGGAGCCTCTCCCCAAGATACCCACCAAGTTTGAAGAACATTGGACCAGGGGGTCCAATTCTACGGGCCCCCAAACAGGTTGCCCCATCCCCTCCATTGTTCTCTATGGTGGGGGGGAGTTACTTTTTTCCCACCATAGAAAACAATGGAGGGGATGGGGGCAACCTCTTTTGGGGCCCGTAGCATTGGACCCCCTGGTTCAAAGTTCTTCAAACTTGGTGGGTATCTTGGGGAGAGGCTCCAGCAGCTACCCTGCGAGTTTGGAGCCTCTCCCTCAAACTCCCTATCCTCCAGTTCCCAGAATATACCCTATGTTTTTGCCATTGACTTCAATGGCCCATAGGATATAATGGGGCCGAATTGCCGCCAAATTTCGGTGGCAATTCGGCGTCAAGCTGATTCAGATCAGAGAATCTGAATCGGCCCGCGGCAGCCCGAAAGGGGCCCAAATGGGCCATTTTCGGGGGTGCATTTGGTTCAGATGAACCGAATGCACATCCCTATCCCATTCAGGCCAAAGGAAAGGGGACAGCTCTTCTAGAGAGAGAAGAAGATTCCCTACCCAGTCAAACAGAGAGAGTGATCTCTGAGAAGTACAGAATTCCCTGGTCCGGTGTGATTACAAACTGCCTGTAGAGACCTTAAAAGTCAGTGAACAACTCAAGAAGTGTACTGGTGTTCCAAGAGAAGGGGTTGGGTACTGGGAAGAGGATACCAGTCTTCTGGGCACCAAAAGGGTCAGTAATCACTCAGATAAAGTATACTAGAGTGTTTTGGAAAACACTGGAACTAAAGCTTCTCGATATAAAGATCTAAGTAACAGTGAATAAATTAAGAACCTCTCATTAGCCTGATACGTAAGATCAAAAGTCTGTGCTTGTACTAGTTTTACCTCAGTAATTTCAACCCCTGATTTCACTTGACCTTTCCCCTTGACGTTAAATAAAACCTTTTGTTATTTTTGAATTTTAAAAGCATTTAAAAGTCCCATTTCCAAGGGTTCAAGTTAAAGGGTGATCCTATCCCTTCCCTCAGGTTCATGGGCTGAGCATATAGTCAAAATATACCTTACTGACAGTGTGGGACAGCCAAAGTTTCTTCAGGGGAGAAGAAGACACATTACCAGGGTTGCTCAGTGTATGAGGGGACAGAAAAAGGAGGGAAAATCTAGCCTCTGAGGGAGGGAAGTGGAAGCGGTCCATCATAGCTGCAGTGCCGAGAAAGGCAATGGCAAATCTCCTCTGCACATCTCTTGCCTTGAAAACCTCATGAGGTGGAACTTCATAGGGTTGCCATGTATTGGTTGCGACTCAATGGCATACGTTACTTGATCACTGAAAAACCACTGAGAACTGTTCTATTCCTTCATTGGTGTCTGTTTTGCTGAACCTTCCCCATTACGGCAAGCATTTTCAGTTATGCCGCGTTAGTATTTAATTAACGTGACAAAACATGTGCCACAAGGTGAATCATTTGACTTCTGCAGCGATGAGAAGATTCAGATTGTTGTTTTCCTGCCTCAGGGATGTTTGCTGTGCCAAATGTACAAGAGCCATTACTCTATTGGGTCATTAGATATTCCAGTTCTTACCTTTATTAACAATTTTGTTTCACTTGTTATCATTTAACTTATTCATTCTCTGCCCTCACGACTTCTTTTCTATTTTAAGCATGTGTTTCTGTATATTTGGCCACATATATCCAAGATGTTCTGTATGTACAAATCAAAACTAAGCATCATATTTTGAGCCCATCATGTTCAGATCATGCTTGCTAAACTTCATTTTACCATTCTAATTCCGGCTCATTCTTTTTATCACAAAATCTAGACAATTTGGCCCACCCGTCTGGATGGCCTTTTAATTATCTGCATGTTTTGGATGCCTGCCAGACCGTTTACACAAGTAGCGCTGCTTTGTATTACTAATAACCAGGGTGATTGAACGACAGTTTGTTTGTGGTTGAAGTGTCCAAATTGTTGTAGATGTTCTGAATAACTGAATCAAACAATGGCTAATTGGATGAACTGTGCCGAAATTACCAAAAGCAAGCGCTACTGTGGAGTCCCCCCACTGAGATGTTTGAACCTAGAGAATCCTCGGGGTCATCTCAGTACTCTGTTGATTCAGTGGGCATTTGAGACTCATTCATGACATGCTGACTGTACAACAGCAATAGGGCATGACAATATAAATGGAAAGTGCATTCTTGTTTACACCACAGTGAAGTGATGACAAAGCACTCAATAGCATTTCAAGTGATGTCTTCTGTTCTCTTCAAGCTCTCTTTGAGACTGGGTTGCCAACCTCCAGGTGGTGAAAAAAAGGAAGGGAATTCTTGGTGTATAGGCTTGAGAGACAGGTATAAACACCAAGCTTCAAAAAGCCATCAAAATTATAACTTCAAAAATTACTATCAATCTTTTACAATGCCAAGATGAATTTAAGTGATAATATTAAACATGAAAAAGCATCCAAAATACACCAGTTTATGTAGTATTACAAACAGTTCCACCAAACTTATCATATGGAACAAAATCTCCCACAATGAGAGCCAGTTTGGTGTACTGGTTAAGAGCAGTGGACTCTTTATCTAGAGAACCGGGTTCAATTCCCCACTCCTCCACATGAAGCCAGCTGGGTGACCTTGGGCCAGTCACAGTTCTTTCAGAGCTCTTTCAGCCCCTAAAAACAATTCTAGCTCACCACTAACATAACGCTAACAGTTAGAACTTGCAGCTGCCAGACAATCTTCAGATCTTCTGGCTATTCTACACACAATGCCATATGATAATTAATGAATTAATTAGCCCCCCACTATTACAACAGAGAAATGCTGGAAATGCTAACAGTTCACCTGGAGAAAGTGGACACTTTGGAAGGTGAATTCTATGGCATTATACCTATTAAAGTCCTTCCCCAAACCCCAGCTTCCTCAGGCTTCACCTCCAAAATCTCCAGGTATTTCCAAACCTTGAGCTGGCAACCCTACTTTGAGGGCCAGTTCATACTTTTGTAACAGTCATGTATGCTGTCTCTGCACTAGAAGCATGAAACGGAGGTGCATTTTGCTAAACTTTTAAAAGAAGATGTACAGGATGTACACTGGACAGTCACCATTGGCCACAATGTACCGGATGTTTCCACAGCGCACATCTAAAGTTCATACTTAATGGCAGCAAAACATTGTAAGAAGCCAATGTTCTATAGTGGTTAAAGTGTTAAACAATGATTTGGGGGATACGCGTTTAAATTCTCACTGGTGGGCGACCTTGGGGCAGTTACTCTCTCTCAGCCTAACTTACATTATATGATTGTTGTTGTGAGAATAAAATGGAGGAGTAAAGAATGGTGTTGTAAGCCGCTATAAATGTTGACATAGGTGATAAACACAACTGCTATGTAAAGTGTGAATGAGCTCTTACAATATAGAAGTAAGAGGAAACCATTCCTCCTATATGTGAATCCTGCCATTACAATAGCCTGGCTGCTGCATTTTGAGCAAGCAGAAGTTCCCAGCCCTTTTTAATGGCTGGCAGCCATTTAAACCTAACAGGTCAGCTGCAGACCAGGCCAAGTTAGGGCTGAATTTTGTCTCGTGAGCCGGTTTGTGCCCATCCCTAGTACATGACCACATGTCCAAAATAATGTCATGTATTACAATAGCTAACTGACCTCTCTTTTTTCCCTTTCTTTCCCTTAGTCAGCAGCAGAATATGTGAAGTCCCGCTTACCTGAAGTCCTAAAACAGCACCTGCAAGACTATGAGAAAGATAAGGAGAATAGCATATTATCCTACCAGACCATCTTGGAACAACAGATTCTGTCAATTGATAGAGAAATGTTGGAAAAGTTGACTCTGTCGTATGATGAGGCAGGTATGTGAAAAATTCATGGAAACATTCAGACTGCGATCTTCCCGCTCTCTTCAGTTTCCTGTCACTCCTTCTAATACTAAAGTGGGGCTGTGGGAGGGTCTGTGACTGAGTGGCAGAGCATCTGTGTGACAGGCAGAAGGTCCTGGGTTCAGTCCTTGCCATCAGATAATAGTTGATGTGAAATACTTAGGTGTAAGACCCCGGAAAGCCGCTGCCTGTCAGAACAGAGAGTACTGACCATCTTACCTCTACATTTCTTAGCTTTCCAAACTAACCATTTTTGATAGACTCATAAAGTGATTACCCAGTCAACGGTATCTTTGAACTTGTGACTATCATGGTGTACTTTGCACTTCTTTCTGCTTAGAATTGTCATTTCTTACAAGTGTTCCACAGGTGACTATCCTTCTATATGCTTTTATGCACTCCCTACATCTCCAAGCAGCAAGAAGTTGGGGCAGTGCTTACCTGGGTCAGTTCCTTTTGCAAGAGAGAACTCTGGAGACCTACACATTTTTGTAATATTTGCTTTCTTTTACAAATAGAGCTGTAGTGGAGGCAGAGGGTAGCATCAGGTCCCAAAGACCCTATGTCCCTAAGGTGCTTCAGCTAGCTCCCAGAAGCGTCTTGTCTTCTCCCCCCCCCCCATCCAGAATTTAAACTACTGTTTCTTCACATGCACAAACACACATCTACCCCCTCTCTTCACCTGGGCAGTCGAAGGGTCTCCCACTGCAAGCCTGGATGGAAAGAACCACTGCTGAACAACTAAGTCCCATTGAGGAGACATCTATCATCATTAAGACAGTCACCACTCTTATTAAAGCTCTGGCTCTTCCCAGGCATGCTACATTAGGCCAAGCTCATATAATAGGCCCTGTTCAAAGTAACCAGATTCCAGACTTACAACAAGATGCACATCCCTTCTAAAAACGGTATTTTGAAGAGGAGTAGCAGCTATCCACTTCATCAGTGTAAGGGTTGTTTTTCCCCTGCTGTATAAATCTAGGCCTGATCCTACAGCCTCTCTCCCATTTATTTTGACTTACATGGCTGGACTCCCTTCTCTTCTAGCTATCAAGCCTGTAACATCTGTGTCTTTAATCATCCTTTAAAAAAATCCATCTGGGCTATAGATGTAACCTGATCAAGGGCTATAATTCAGTTTTACAGAATGTAGAGAGCAGAATACAGGACCAGTGCGATAGCAAACACTTGCAAAAAGCATTTCTGTTTATACACTCTTGAGATAGGGAGAAATGGAGAAAGGTATTTTTTAAAATCCTGTGTGGGATGGGTTGGTGAGTTGTGTGTTTATGTCTATTCAGTATTAGACATTTTGATACATGGATAGTCCTTTGGGAGAAAAGGTAATTGGAAGGAAATTATAGATGCATAAATGGGAAAAACACACGCACAGAGACACTTTTGGGGGAGGAACACATGCTTGCACAAAGGAAATATGACATGTCTCAAAGCAGATATTTGGGGATTTTAATGTTAAAGCAAGCAATCATGGCTGAGTGAAGAGCTGCATAAGCAAGTCTAGAATAAAAGTCTTTTGTGTGGTGCAATTTTTAAAGAAAGAATATACCCTCAGAACAGCATGCACCACAAACAAAAGTCCCGTATTTAAGCCCATAATGAGGAAAAGACACTGCCTTAACATTCTAATCAAGTCTCTTGTTTGGTACAAGAGAAGTAATGGTGCTACCTGTTCTGAAGCAAGGCCTGATTACTACTGCTGCGCAAAATGTGTGCTCTTTTTTTAAAAAAAGAAATAATAATAATTGCAGCAGATGTTCGCAGTTCTGAATCCTCCAGCCATTCATGTTGTTCGACAATTCTAAGGGTAACATTTTCTCCAGTCATGACAGACTTCAGTGCTTTGTCAAGCTCCTTTCATTTTAATGAGAAGGTCAAACTATTTCCAGTTCCTACTTGGTATGCTAGTAGGTGGGCTCTTGGGGAAGCAGGGAGGAGAGGGTACTTTTAAAGTGGAGCAAATTATAACCATTTCAGGTGGAAGTGTAACAGGCTCTGCGTACAGGACGGCAACAAAATTGTATCCTCTACCTTCCTCTCAAGTGTTTAACAACTATAATCACAAACATCTGGAGTTCTCTCAGGTGCCAGCCAGAGTTCTGGCATGGGATTAAATCTCTGAGGCATCTGACATTCTGAAACGTCTACAGTTGCCTAGGGTTGCCAGCCTCCAGGTGGCACCTGGAGATCTCCCACTATTAAAACTGATCTCCAGATGACTAGAATAGATTCCCCTGGAGAAAGTGGCCGCTTTAGAAGATGGATTCTATGGTATCAGGCCCTGTGAAGGTCCATTTCCCTCCCCAAACCCCACTTTTTCCAGGCTCCACACACACACCCCAAATCTCCAGGATTTTCCCAAGCCAGACCTGGCAACCCTAACATTGGCTATGGTGGAACCCTGTTCTTGGGAGCATTGAAATCAGTAAATACATAAGATAGTTTCCAAGGGTAGCTGTGTTGCTCTGCAGCAGAAGAGGTAGATTCATGTCCAGTTGCACCTTAAGAGACCAACAAGATTTTTTTTGGGGGGGGGGTGTAAGCTTTCGAGAAGACAAATGGGGCTTTGACTCTCGAAAACGTATACCCCCAAAATCTTGTTCGTCTCTGAGGTGCAACTGGAATGTAGCTCAAAAAAACACATAAGGTTAGATTTTTCTACTAGTTCATTTAGAATAGAGGTACAGCTTCCAAAGTTCTTTGGTACAGTCTGTAGGTTTTCTTAGGCCCATTTCAGACATTATGTGTAGTTGAGATGAGATTTGAACTGAGTGCTTTCTGGCTCGCGGCGCACAGTCAGCCACTGAGTTGCCGCAGCTGTAGTTTTAAACTTTGGTTTGTCACACAGCCTAAATACCAATCTCATGTTTGTACTTGTGGTTTCTGTTCAAGCTTTCTGCATTAGTTCAGTGGACCAATAGTTATATTTTGGAATTGTTTATTTTATTTTAGAAAATGTATGTCTCCTTTCCAGCCAACTTAGGATCCCCAAGGTAGGAAATAATCAAAAGATTAAAATCAACTTTGAAAATGCATACATAAATCAATTTTAAAAAATTAACGGAATTATAAATGGGAAGGAAGGTCAGTGAGGGAACACCAGGCAAAACGGTAAAATATTCGTCCACTGGCAGAAATAATACGGGGGTGGGGGGGAGATGAAACTCCCTGGAGAGGGAATTCCATAATTTCGGTGTCACAACCAAGCAGATCTGTTCCTGGGTTTGCCATCCATCTAGCAGATGCTGAAGGTTCCCAAAGCAGTGCTCCTGAAGATTACTACAGTGATTGTCTAGTTTCATATGGAAATACGCAGTCATATGGAAATATCCAGGAAATATGCATATCTCATCTCAACTACACATAATGTCTGAAATGGGCCTAAGAAAACCTGCAGATATGCAGTTGCTGCATCTTGAATTGGACCCTGAAGCAGAGGCCCAGTGTAGGTGGAAGAAGACTGGAGTGATATGGCCTCTATGACCCACTCCAAACAGAATTCTGGACCCAGCATTCTGTACCAATTGTACCTTCCAAACACTCTTCAGGGTTAGCCCTGTGACCCACTCGAGTCAGCGTTCTGTACCAAGTTGCAACTTCTGGACAGTCTTCAAGGGCAGCATCACGTAGAGCTCACTACAGTAATCTGATCTGGGTGTTACCAGGGCATGTTCCACAGTGTCAAGACATTTCCTGCTTAAGAAGGACCACCACTGGCTCACCAAGCACAGCTGATGAAAGGCACCCCTACCCACCACTGCCAGCTGTTCGTCCAACAGGAGGCCCGGATCTAACAGCACCTCCAAGTTACAAATCTGCTTCTTCAGGGAAGAGTGCGACCCCATGAAGAACAGGAGATATCCCCATTCCTAGATCAAATCTTCCTCCCACCAGTAGTACCTCCATTCTGTCAGGATTAAGTTTCGGCTTGCTAGCCCTCATCCATTCCAAAACTGCCTGCAGGCACCTGTTCACATTTTCCACACCCTGAGATCTGCTGGAAGCATGAGATAGAGCTGAGTATCATCTGCATACTGGTAACAACTCAGCTCAGATCTCTAGATGACCTCTCCTAGTGGCTTTACTTAGATTTTTAAAGGCATGGGGGACAAGATGGAACCTTGCAGAACTTCAGGGGTTGAGCAGCAGTCACCCAGTACCACCCTCTGAAACCTACCTTCCAGGTAGGACAAAACCACCAGAGTATGGTGCCTCCCAGCCCTAACTCCAAGAAGTGGTCCAGAAGGATACCGTGATGGATTGTATCACAATCTTTCCATACTGTAAATACATCTTAAGAAAAAGTAAAAATACAAAGAATATGCATGTCTGTGTGTACTTTTGGCACATAGAATGACAAGATGTCTGACTACTTTAAAAAAATGATTGAAGTACAATACAATCTGTTTCAGATATAGTTTTGTTTAAAATAAACCGAAAAGGCCAGGAAGGATATTGAATTTAGGAACATAAGAAGGCACCTGCTGGATCCATCACAAGGTCCCTTTATTTCAGTTTCCTGTTTTCTGCAGAAGCTTGGCAGATGCCTGTGGGAAACTCATAAACAAGGCATGAAAGCAAAGGCTATGTTGCCACCCAGAAGTTGTTATGCAGAATCATGCTACCATGGAGGTTCCATATAGTTAGCTGGACTAATAAACTGTTTATAAAGCTATTGTTCAAGACTTTGTTATTCATCTTTTAAAGTCACCTAAATCAGTAGCCATCACATGCTGTGGCAGCAAATTCCATAAATCAGTATTATTTTGTGAAGAAGTACTTGGTCATTGACATTTTTATAGGAATTCGTAAGGGTTATAAGGAAGCGTCTCTACAAAAACCATTTTGATTCTTCCTCTACTTTTTCTGCTTTGGGGTCAGGAAGTAATTTTTCTCCAGGCCAGTTTGGCTGGAGATCCTGGAGGTTTTTGTTATCTTCTGGGCATGGAACAGCG